ACATTTTAGGTATACAATACATTTACGTTTATCATTGGGTGCTTGTACCTGTACATGATGTGTCTTGGTTCTTATTTTTTCCCCATTCCCCTGACCTCCCTTTACCCTCTCCACTCTTCCCTATTTACATAGACTTCATTTCCATTTTTTCCTTTTCTCATAATTTTTCCCTTTCTCTTTTTTCCTTTTCCCTTCCCCTCCCACTTCCCCTACCCCTTTGGACCTTTTCTTCCTATTTCAAATTATCAATTATTCATTTTAATAATTTTAGTCCTTATTTACACTTTCAGTTTCTCAAACCAGAGAAACTATTTGGTATTTACACATGTGTCCTATTTATTTCACTTAAGAGTATGGCCTCAATATGCATCCATTTAGCTAAAAATGTCAGTTTCTCATTCTTTATGGCTGAGTAGTGCTCCATTTTATAAAAAAAAAACATATCTTCTTTATCCAGTTTCCAGTTGATGGGCACTTGGGCTGTTTCCAAGCTTTCGCTATTACAAACTTAGGTTGGCACAGTTTTTAACTGCTCGACATCCTTTGCCCTCCCTGCCTTCTGGGGGTTCCCACCAAACTCCATCTTTGCATTGTTAGCTTACTCATTAGCCCTCTCATTTATCCAATTACCAAGTGTTTTACTTATCTCACTCACTAGACTGGGCGGGAGGGAGGACCTCTCTAAAGCAGGCACCTGCTTCCTTTCTGTTTATTTCCACAAGCTGGTGCAACATTTGGTACACAGCTGCCAGTAACAAGGGCTGGGTAAGGGTGTGTCAAGTTCATATTAGTAAAATTTGTGGAAAGTAAAAAAGGACAAATTTCTGGTATAAAGTATAAAGTATAAATTTCTGGTATTTCTGGTATAAAGTATAAAGCATTCACTAGTATTTTTTTCCCACTAACACTTGACTTAAAAATTTAATTCTCTATTTTATTTTTAAATTTATTTTTCAAATTTTTAAGTTTTTATTAATACATGTTTTTGCTACATAATTATTACACTCATCCTGGAGAGTACTTATACATAATAAATCTCAATTCTTTTTACTTCCCTCTTTTCTCCTTTCTCCCTCCATCTCTGGGCCCCTTTTCCATTTGCAAAAAACTATATTGTCAATTATGAAAAAATAGGGCTTTTTCCAGGTTTATTTTACATAGGATTAGATTACGATTAAGTTAAAGTATATAAAACCAATAGTTTAGACTATAAAGATATAAAATATGAAAGACTTAAAGAAATATGACACATTACCCTCTAAATAAATATGTATTTAAATTCAAACTGGAAAACTGGCAGATTCAAGAATTCCACATTGGAGAAAGAGGTATATATAGGACTACAAGTATCCAGCAGACAGTTTATTACTCAATACTAACTATTCCCTTCTTTGTTATTTTATCATTAGCAGCAAAATTTAATTGAAATTGGTATACTACCTTAGGTCCTTTAATGTTGAAAATTTCTCTCTAAATTCTCATCAACTTATTTTTCTTCTTTTGACTTTTATTAGTACATGTTTGCAGTACAAAATAATTATATTCCCTGTAGGGGATGGGTACATGTACATAACACATTTCAATTCCCTTCTTCCCCCCCTCCCTCTACCCCTCTTTTATTTTTCGATCATCAGATTCATTTATAAGACCTTATAAAGTTAATTATCATATATACAGATTGAAAAACAGACTAATAGGCCAAAATACATGTAAGACAATCATTAACTTAATTTTTTTTTTTGGTACTGGGGTTTGAACTCAGGACCTTGCACTTGCGAGGTAGGCGGGGGAACCACTGAGCTAAATCCCCGGCCCTCATCAACTTAATTTTTAAAAAACAACAAATTATAAAGCAAGAAGCACAGGCTTTAAAGTTTGAACACACGGATTTCAGTCTTGGCTGCTTTGGGCTTTCGTCATATAATATAGGGCAACTATTGTGAGACTCATTTGCATTAAATGTTACACTGTAGAGAGAGGATGATAATGATGGTGGTGGTGGTATCTCCTTGGAGTTGCTGGAAGGATTGAGCCATCTCAGGTGAGATACGATGTCAGAAGCAGCTTAGTAAATTATAAAGTATTACATTATTATTTTTCTTTTTGTGCTTCTATTTCTAGTCAGAGGAAAATGAATCATGAGCTGATTAAGTGGAGGAGTGAATAGTGCCATCCAGGATCAGGCAGTGAAACAGAGGAAGCTCAGCTTTATTATACTCTATCATTCACACAAGTGGTAAATAGTAAGAAGAGACTGAAAAAATATCCTCTCAACAGAAACCTGTTGAATGTTATTTAAAGGATGTACTCAGTACAGTGCCTGTTCTATGGTACTTATTAATTGTTACCTCTATTATTAATAGTTGTAACTAATCTGTAGTCAATAGTGTCTATGCAACTCTAGCATCTCCAGTCTGTTCTTTTCCTCTAGACAAATTTCTGTGGAAATCCAGATTAAAACCCTAGTGTTTGGAATAAAAACAAACATTTATTTCATTAAAGATACGTACTCTTGTTTAATACTGAAAGACCTAGAGACTGCATGATACATTCATGGTCTTGCCAATTGTGCCACAATCTTATAATTTGTTGGTTGAAATAGCTGATAGAGCCCGGTCTTAAGTTCATTTTGTGCTAGTATAGTATTAACAAATACCCAAGGCTAGGTAATTTATAAAGTACAGAACTTCCTCCAGCTCTGGAGGCTGGAGTCCAACATCAAGGCAAAATGGCACTGTGAACACCAGTCCTCCCAAAGCAGAGAGGTAAAGGGGAGAGACCCCTTTATCAAACCCTTTTATAAGGCACTGAAGGAGCAGTCGATGGCCTGATCACCTCCCAGAAGCCCCACCTCTTAGTACTACCACATTGGTAACACCTGAGTTCTGGAGGGACCCTATTCAAACCACAGCAGATACTTTTCAAAAGTTTGCTGACTTTATTCATTGAACCCACAGGTGGACCAACTTCAATCAAATTTCTCTGTTGCCTGGGAGTCTTGCTTTAAAACATTTTCTTTATCATGAGATAGACTTTGTAGATTGTTCTCTCTCATGGTTCAGGTGTGAACTTATGATTTTAAGATAAGAGAACAATGTTATTTGTCTTTGGAAAGCTCTCAATGATCATCACATTACTTTGACACACTTGAGTATCTGTACTACACAGAGTGATGTCACAGAGCAGGGCTCCTTCAGGCTTAATGGATAGGTGGGCCACCTGGGGTCATATTAAGAGGAAGATTCAGCAGCTCTGGGGTGACGCCAAAAGTCTGTACATCTAACAGGCTCCCAGATGATGCTGATCATATGGCTCCATGGACAACACTATGAGGTTCCTGGTTACTATAAAAGTAATCATGCTAATTGAGCATTGAAGTTGGGAATTGAACCCAGGTCTTTCTAATTTAAAAGACAATTCTTTTCCACAATATTGGAATCCAGAAATACAACACTGAATAAAAAGTAAGAAATTATACCTAAGCCTAATTATTTCAGTTAACTATTAATTACAATGATAAAATTTAAAAGAAGTATTCTCTTAGAACATAAAGAACAGGTACATTATTAGGCTGAAGGAAAATAAAAACATTTTTTGGGAGAAAAAACTGATAATTTGAAAGGATAAAGGGACAAGGATTATAAAATAAAATGAAAAATTATAGAAGTTAGACGATAAATATAAACAGAACAGAAAGAACCACTACCTTCCCCATTTCTAAAATGATGACACTAAACATCATGTACATATTCACCAAGGTCCTCTGAGAATCCCAGCATCTGCAGGTAACAATAGCAAGTGATGAAAATTTGACTAGGGAAAATGACACACAGAGATGCACCTACCCTCTGACTCAGCAGCAGTCTAGAAAGCAATTCTAGAAAACAACCAGCTCTTCCAGCAAGACAGGGAGTCCAGGGTCACACCAGCCTTAGCAGGTTGACCCTGAGCAGGATTGTGAGAAGTGACCCTTATAGAATATCTCATAACACAGAAAACAAGGGACTTTGTCTCCAGAGCATGATGCTTCTGAATCACACAAATCCAGGCATGTACAACCATAGATACTTCCTCTGCGTTCCACAATGAAGGCAGTTTCAAAGCCTTATGAAAGTGTATTCTTTGTGTCCTTCAATTAGACTATAAAAATCACCCTACATAGAACAGGACATCGTGCATACCATGGTGCAGAATTTTGGCTCTGATGCTGGCACAAACTGAGGTTTTTAAAGATGCTCATCCTCTATTGCATCAGATGCAGCAGTGTAGGAAACACCACAAGCACATCTCCAACTTCCTCTGATGCCCTATTATCCATCATTTTCAAATGGTTCTACAGCTTTCTTGTGTTACTACTTACTATTTAGAGTTGAATGTACCTTTTACAATATTGGTAGCTCTGACGTGTTTCAAAAGGACTTTCTTTGCATTTATTCTACCTGAAATTGCTAATTTTATATATTATTTTCTCTTATTAGAATCAAAGATCCTATACTTTTATAATCATTATTGAGGTGCTTTCTCTTTCACAAGATTGTGAATTCTTGAAGGGTTGAAGTTATCCTAGATTTTGTAAAACTGGTGCCTAGCAATATATCTTGACAACAGTAGGCATTCAAATCATGATTGATGAAAGTATAAATAAGCTCTAGTGCAGAGACCTGATCATCACATAGTATCATTTATTCAATGAATCTGAAGTTTTTGAATGAAATTTCCTTTATCTTTTATCAGTTTTATTAATTCTGGCATACAAAGATTTAGGAAACAATTAATTGAGGGCCTACTCATATTATTTCCACATTTGCTAGTTCTTTCTAAATCAAATCAAAAGACATTTACTGAACATCCATAAAACTCAACTGTAAATGCTGCAGGGCACAGTTCTTAAAACCACATACTTGTATCCTCTTTGAGGAAATTCCTCACTACAAAAGTGAGCACCCAGGGCTTGCCTTTTGTGTATTTTGATATATAAAATATATTATATATTACATTACTTGATCAAACTGGGGGTCTTCTCCTCGCTGTAGAGATTTTGTCAATGGCTTCTCCTACAAAGAAAAAGAATATATATAAGAATAATGTCATTATTGTTACAATTTTCTCATTTATTTCTCCTTTTACAAATGTTGGTCATTTCTGCCCTAACTCTTGGTAATCACTCCCCGTGACCAACACTCACCCCCACCCCCTGAACTGGGGATTGAACTCAGGGCCTCCTCAGACTCTAAGTCACTAAGTTGCTCAGGCTGGGCTTGAACATTCAAGCCTCCTGCCTCAGCCTTCCAGAGTGCTGGGATTACAGGTGTGTGCCATCATGCTCAGCTTTGGTAACTATCTTCTTTGACCAAAACATACAGAAGATGATAGTCAGGGAAATGAAAATTGAAACACAAGGAGATATGACCTCATATTTATTAAAATGACTTTTACGAAAAAGACAAAAGATAAATGTTGGTGAAGAGGGCATGAAAGGAGAACCCTTCCATACTGTTGATGGGGATATAATCAGTATAGCCATTAAGGAAAACAGTATGGAACTACCTCAAAAAATTAAAAATAGAACTGCTTCTGAGTATATATCCAAAGGAAATGAAACAAGTATGTCAAAGAGTATCTGCATACCAATCTTCACTGGGGCATCGTTTACAACATCCAAGATAAAGAATCAAACAAAGTGTCTATCAATGGATGAATGGATAAAGGAAATGTATTATATACATACATACAATGGCATATTCAGCCTTAAAAAAGAAGCAGATATAGGGCCAGGGATTTAGCTCAGTGGTTCTGCCACCTGCCTCGCAAGCGCAAGGTCCTCAGTTCGATCCCTGGTAGCAAAACAAAAATAAAGGAGAAAGAAGCAAATACTGTCACTTGCAACAACATGGATGAACCTGGAGCTAAATGATAAGAGCCAGACATGGAAATATATTGAACAATCTCACTTATAGGTTGAATTTAAGAGTTAAACTCAAGTTGATGTGGTAGTGCACATCTGTAATCCCAGCATTTGGGAGCCTGAGGAAGGACCATTGTGAGTTTGAGGTCAACCTGGAATATATAGTAAGACCCCGTCTCAAAACAAACAGGAAGGCAGTAGAATGGTGGTTACCAGGGGGTGCTGGGAGGTAAGTGAGGAAGGGAGAAACAGAGAGATATTGGTCAATGTAAGACAAGAAGATAGGGTATGGCCAAAACTAGCTGGGAAAGGAGGCCTGACAGGATACAGGACAACATGTGCAAAAACACAAAAACAGTTCCCAAAACCTGCATGTGGACATCTCATGAGAACTCCAGCAGGTTTTTTGTGTTTTTTTGGTACCGGGGATCGAACTCGGGTCCTTGCGCTTGCGCAGCAGGCAGCGAAACCACTGAGCTAAATCCCCAGCCCTCCAGCAGGTTTTTGATAGGATGACCTACACGTGGTGGCAGTGTGGGAGAGTCACATTTAGCACTCACTATCCTGCCTCTTCACAGTGGCCTACTTTACACTGTAGGGTGTATTTTAAGTTTTTCCTCAACCCAAACTTTCTCTGCAGAGCCCATTTTCCCCCTACACTTCTCGTTTTTTTAAATTTCCTGTTAATAAATGTGAAACTTTGTCACTGTTTATGCTTGTTTCATTCAATTCTTTGTCTAGGAGATTAAGGACTTAGAAATCACCTCTAAAAGACTCCAGCACCCCAGAATCCAGTAACAAAGGATACAGAATTTTCATTAGACAGGAGGAATAAATACTGGAGGTTTATTGTATAATATGGTGACTGTAGTATATGATCTGAATGTGTGCCTAATATTCATATGTTTAAAACTTTATCCCTGAGCTGATGATGAACAGTAAGGCCTTGGAGAGTATTACGATTACAAGGACAGAATCATCGTGGATGGAATTAAGGGTGAGCGAGCTCCTTTGTCTCTCGTCATGTGCAGAAGCAGCAAGAAGACATCATCTATGAGGAAGAAAGCCTGTACCAGACAATAGATGTGCAATAGACCTTAATCTTAGACTTTTCAGTCTTCTGAAATGTTAGCAATAAATTTTTATTTTATACAAATTACCCAGTTTATGGTAATTTATTATAGCAGTCTGCATGGTATAAGAAATCATATTGATCAAGTTCTCATTGCTGGGACAAAATCTCTAATACTTGAATCTTAAAGAGGAGAGTTTGTTTTGATTCACTGTTTTAGAGGGTCCTGTCCATGGTCAGCTGGCTCTAAGGCAGAAATAGCACACGGGGAGAGCATGACAGAGCAAGGCTGTTCACTTTAAGGTGGTGATGAAGCAGAGCACAGGGGCAGGGCACCGGTGAGAGTTGTAGCCTCCTTAGGCAAGTCTCACTGACTCCTTTTCCAACTGGGCCCACATTCAGCTACAAACATCAGTGATTAATCCATTGATGAGTAGAGTACCCCATGATCCCATTCTCCAGGAATCTCTTAATTCAGTCAAACTGACAATTAAAGTTAACTAGCACAGATGTTTATACTCAAAAATTGCTAAGAAAGCAGATTTAAATGTTCTTACAAAACACATACACATACATACAGATAAGTAAGTGAAGGGATAGATATGTTAATTAGCTGGATTTATTCATTGCACAATGTATACATATATCAAAATATTATAATGTATATCATAAAAATATATACATACTTATTTGTAAATTAAAATAATCTGATGCTATAAAAGTTATCTTGTATTTTGAATGGAAAGAACATAATAAAAACTATGGGACTAATCAAAAAAATTTTAGTATTTATCTCGGGACTTGACAGATCATAAAAGTTGAAAGTGATACACAATTCCAAGTCCTTAGATATAGAAACAAAATAAGGTCAATTTATAAGACTTACTGAGGGAAAACTTACTTATCTGACATTTACTAGGTGTAACTGGTGAATTCTAGGCATGTGATTGGCCTTGTACTACATCTAACTATCTACAGAAATAATCTTGGTATTGACCAAGGTCTATAGAGATGAGTCTCCCTAATCATCACATCTTTGTTTATGCTAGAGGTCCTTCACTAACCTTGCCGCAGGGCATTATACAATTACTTCTCCTTGGCTACATTTTTTATTTTTTGCTATGGAAGTGATACAGGGGAAATAATATAACTCTCAACCTGCTACATGTCAGATATGCTGAGCTCATGTTTTCTGAAATTGAAGAACGAATTCTAAGGAACAACAGAGGTTAAGAGTAAGAAAAATTTATTGAGAGAGATAGCTCCTGAGAGACGGTAGGGGACCTGAATGTGGGTTGTCAGTGAGCCCACTTCTCAAAGGAAGTTTTACAGAGTGAAATTGAGATGGGTACAAAAATCATGAGGTGGGTATAATGTGGGTCAAAACTATGATCAACCAATAAGATTACAAGTATAGTTGCTTAGGTAATATTGATCCAATGGGGAAGCAGGTCATGTAACAAGTGTACATGGAAAGAACAAGGACCTTTTTAGGAAGGGAAGGATCAGGAAGTCCTGGTCATCCACCTGGGTTACTGATGTTTATCTAGACTTTATTGGACCAGGTGATACCAATTAAGTATAATCTTCAATTTATTGCTTATCCCTTGGGGAGGCATGTAGGCCCGGTCATTCCATCTTTATCTTGAGGCCTGGCCTTCAACAGATGTGCCTCCAGCCACAGTGGTAATGTGGTCTCATCTTTCACATTGACTTCCCTCAGGGCCTCGACCTGTCTGATGGACTATAATATTTCTACCTAACTGAGCTGTCTATAATAGAAGCTAATTCTGATTCTACATATCACTTTGGATTAGAAACCATGCCAAAACCAAAACAAACCAACCAAAAAACACAGTTAAGTTTCCCTCTGGTCAATACAGATGCCCTAGAAAACATGATTTACCCTTAGCTGGTCACACATACCCTCTGGCTGCCTCACTTCCATAATAATGACATATATCCAAGGCAGATGCAAGCCTCCTTCCCATCCATGGAGTCTGTTCTTGAAGCAACATACACAGTGCGCTCTCTCAGACATGTGAAGTTTAAACCAGAGTGTTGTGAATCAAAAACTTGTCTCACCGTGATATACCGCATACATATTCATCTAAACCAGTGGTAGTGAACCTATGGAACTCATGCAGCAGCAGGCTGCTTCTATCATTGAAAGCTCTAAAAGGTTCACCGTCACTGAAAAGAGAATAATACTGTGCTCTTACCAGGCTAATAAGCCTTTCAAAAGTATGTTATCTAGAAAGGACTAGATGTGAAAGATCTAGAACACACCAGGTCTCAGAGAGCAGAGAGAAAAATGAGGAAAGAACAACATGAATTAAGTAAACAACAGACTCAGGTGAATGCATATGACAAATTTGGCAATTAAAGTTAATACCATTTCCTGTGTAAATAAACATTATAATATCACCCCTAAAGTTTTCTAAAACCAATTAAAATACAAAAGTGAAAATTAAGTAAGTGAAAAGAGGCAGCCCCAGATCCCACGAACATCTTTGCCACAATCCTAGTATGAGCATTTGTATTAGGTATTTTCTTTATTCATTACTCAACAGTTACTGAGGGTTACACAGGTATCATGCTGGGTGGAATACTGAACAAATGATTACCACCACCGGGGACAAGAATTAGTGCAAAAGTGGCCAGTGATCTCTTACAAGTGTTATCTCTATTTGCTCATATTGAAGGCTCAGTTCAAATATCACTTCCTTAGGGAAGCCCTTCTTTGAGTTGTCCCCAAGAGTGGAACCACCCACACCCGCCCTGTGAGACTGCAAATTCTCACATACTTCTCCTTTCACATGCTTATCAGAGTTCAAAGTCACACTTACAGTGTTAAATCATGCTTTACAATGCTTTTGTTTGTGAATGATTCGCCAAGCCTGCCACCACTCAACAGAAAGCTACACACACACCACACACACCAACCTCTACCTGTTTTTCTCAACACTTAAGTCACAGGGTGGACCATGGCTACACATTTGCTGGTGTCCAGTTTCTTCAAATATGAGGATTCCTTTGTGTGTGTTTATGTTAAAAATTTTTATACTTTCACTGTG